TTTTGTCAGTGTTTTCCTTGATCTGCCTCTCAATTCGTTGAAGATACCTGTTCTGGTTATCTAGTGCCACTCTGACAAGAATATATACCATAAATGGGATGCCCTTAAGAAACAGGAGTTTATTCTTAAAATTTGGAGGCTTTTAAGTCCAAGTTCAAAGTACCAGGCTCTAGGGGTTGGGTGAAAGCCCCTCAACCTTGGGGTCCAGCTCTGCCTTCTCCTCCCAGCCCACTGGAGCTAGAGGCATTTCTTCACTCAGACAGCTGCTTGCTGGTGAGGCTGAGAAGTCCCAGGTTGCACAGTCCCAATGTTACCAAACCACACAGCAGGCCATTAACTTAAGTCCATTGTAAGTCCCAAGGTCAGCAGAGCATAGCAGGCTGCTGAGCAACAACACAGCTACATGCAGGGTCCAGGCATGCCATAGGCTGGAGACCATTCTCAAAGCTTCTCCATGCAGGAGGCAGACCATATCCCAAAGACAGCTACTCAGCTTCTTGTGGTAGATGGCACCATTGAGTTGATTGCCAGTCTCATCATGGGGAATAACTTCCACCAGCTGCCCAGCCTCTCAACCAGGCCCAGCCAAGTTGACATACAGACATAACTACCACAATACCTAAATGTAATTCTTTTGAATTCTTTATCAGGAGTTCCAATACTGCTGCTTCTTCAGGGATGTATTTTAGGTCTGTACCCTGGTCCCTTGTTTCTCTTGCTTTATCTTGCTTCTTTGTGTGGACTGTGATGCTCTGTTGTCTCTGAGGCATTGTGACGTTTTTGTGTTTAAATTTAGTTGGTGATTGTATGGTAGAGTGACTTGCCCATGATTTTTGTTTTCTTTGTATGTTATCTGTGTAAGCAGGGTACTGTGCTGTGCTCCTCTATTCACTAGTTGGCAGCACTTACACACTTACCACCTGTTTCCTTTCTTGTTGTCAGCCTCCTGTATGTCCCTGCCATCCTTAGTAAACGGAGCCTATTCTTAGGTCCCTGGAATCCGAATGAGAATGCTGTCACTTTAAAATCCAAAATGGCCACCACTTGTAAACATTTGAAATGGCTTCATCCTCCAGATAGCTGAAAGTCCACAGTTTGGGTTGTCTTCCTTCTTGCTGTTTCCCTTCCTAGTCATAGGCCACCAGCGCAGCTGTCCCTGCAGCCCTTGGCAACCAAGGCTGATCTTTAGGTTAGTTCTCAGGTCCCAACACCACTGGGGAATATTCAGGCTGTTGGTCCCATCAGAGTAGCTGACAGTTCACTGCTCTGACTGTCTCTATACTCACTGTTTTCATTCAGGTTTTTCCACTAGTTGGTGCCAAATCCACTTTGTATCCTTCCTTTCAATGCTCAGGGCTCCAGGAATATCTTCTGTATCTTTGTCCATTGGTTTCTCTCTTCTTTGCTGAAGAGGGTCTGTGTAGCTTGTCTGCCTATTACTTCATCTTACCAGAAGTGTATTGCACTCCTCCAGGTTTGACTAAATATGTGCATACTGTATTTTGTGGTCTTCTCTTACCTAGGGTCATTCACAGTGTGGGCTTGCTTCAGGTCAATCCTCTCTACTGCTTGTGGCTTTCTTTACTGGGGACCAATCTACTGTGTGCTAAGCACTGGAAATGGAGGAAGTGAGATGATGGCTGTAGTAAGTTGAAAGTATAGTAAGTTGTAAAACCTTTAGAATTTGGAATTAAAACAACATTGGAACTAAGAGAAAGTAACCAGTCTCTTGTGGAGAATTCACTGAGTTTTTTAGTTGACTAAGTAATGAGATACTTGGGGTCTTAGTGGACAGCTGAGAACAGGGGTCAGCAGACTGCAGCCTGCAGACCACATCTGGCCCGCCACCTGTTTCTTTGTGGCCATGAGCTAAGAGTAAGGAGTTGTTACATTTTTAAATGGTTGAAAAAACATTAAGAGAAAACTATTCTGTGATGTGAAAGTTGTCTGAAATTTTTGTGTTCACAGAGTGAGGTTTTGTTGGGGTACAGCCGTGCTTTCATGCCGCAGTGGCAGTTGAGTATTTACAACAAAGACTACATTGCGTGGTCAGACACAAAATATTTACTCTCTGGCCTTTGTTTTTGGGTTTGGCCCTTCATGGGAAACAACCTCACTGATCTGGCTTAGAAAGCTTGGTTCCCTGAGGAGAGATCAGATGGAATGGAGGTATCTGGGGTCATGCTCATGGGTAGAGAAGGTATGGCCTCAGATGGTTTACCCAACTGTGCTGCTTTTCACAGAGGTACCGGCCAAAGCCCTACTGCTGCAGCCTCTGCAAATACTCGACAAAGGTGCCCACTTCCTTCAGAAATCATCTGCATCGTTGCCACGAGGATGAAATGGACCAGGAGCTAGTGGTCCCTTGTCCACAGTGTGCGTTTGCGTCACAGCCCAAAGTCGTGGGGAAGCACCTGAGAATGTTCCACGCGCCTGCTCGGAAGGCGCAGAACTACCCAGTGAACATTCTAGGCGAAGCGCGACCTTCCAGGAGCGACGCCACAAGTTTCACGTGCTTGAAGTGCAGCTTCTCAAACACACTGTACTACAGCATGAAGAAGCACGTGCTGGTTGCCCACTTCCACCACCTAATCAACACCTACTTCGGCCTACGGACCGAGGAGGTGGCTGAGCCGTCGAAGGCCAGCGACGTTCTTCCTGCTGAGAAGATGCTGCCCACCGACAGGTACTACTGTAAAAAGTGCAGCGCCAGTGCCAGCAGCCAGGATGCTCTCATGTACCACATTCTGACTTCAGATACACACCGGGACTTGGAAAATAAGCTGAGGTCTGTGATCTCAGAGCACATTAAGAAAACTGGACTTTTGAAGCAAATGACGATTGCCCCCAAACCAGCTGCACATTTGGCCGTCCCACCCAACAGCAATGCGCCGGGGGTCCCAGCCACGCCTCCTTGCTTCCATCTTGCGTTGCCGCAGAGTAGCCAAAGCCAAACCCTAATTCAGCCCGTCTCTGTGGCCTCGGGTACGTCAGGGGCGCTCACCTCCCAGGCCTCCCCTGCCATCACCCAGTCCCAGGTGGCACTTGTCTCCAGTCCACTGTCAGTGGGCCCCAATGGCCTGACTCTGCCGACGCCAGTTCCGCAGCCTGTCTTCATGTCCCACGGTGTCCCCCTCAGCCAGCCGGTGAGCCCCGCTGTCTTGCCCTTGAGCCAGCCTGTTGGGCCCGTAGCCAGCTCTACTGAGACCGGTGTTCTCCCTGTGAACCAGACCATCTGTCCAGGGATTCTGCCCCTCACTCAGCCCGTTGGGCCCCTGAATAGACCTGCTGGGGCTGGAGCTCTCCCCGGCAGCAGGCCCACCGGGCCTGGCGTCCTTCCTGTTGGGCATGCAGTCGCCCCTGGGGCTCTGCAGGCTGTTCCACCAGGGGTGATCTCTGTGGGCCGGACAGTCCCCCCAGCTGTGCTTCCTGCAGGCCAGGTGGCTCCTGTAGGGGTTGTCCCTTCGGGACAGACAGCTTCTTCAGGGGTGCTCCCGGCTGGTCAGGTGGTCCAGTCAGGGGTGCTCCCCATTGGCCAGACGGCTCCATCAGGTGTGCTCCCTGCTGGGCTGGCAGTCCCGTCTCGGGTACTCCCCCCCGGCCAGACAGTCCCGTTGAGGGTCCTTCCTGCAGGCCAGAAGGCCACATCTGGGGCGCTTCCCACTGGCCAGGTGGTCCCTGCAGGGCTGCTTCCTCCAACGTCAGCAGTCTCATCGGGGGTACTGCCTGTGGGCCAGACCATGAATCCTGGTGTCCTGCAGCTTGGCCAACCTGTTGTGTCGGGCGTCCTTCCAGTGGGTCAGCCCGTGCGGCCTGGCGTCCTGCAGCTCAGCCAGTCTGTTGGCACCAGCCTCTTGCCTGTGAGCCAGCCCGTCAGGCCTGGCGCTGCACCCAGCACTACCTTCCTCACCTCGGGCTCCATCCTCAGGCAGCTCATCCCCACGGGGAAGCAGGTGAATGGTATCCCCACATACACACTGGCTCCGGTCTCGGTCACTCTGCCCGTGCCTCCAGGGGGTGTTGCAGCCACTGCCCCACCCCAGATGCCCCTCCAGCTGCTACAACCTGGGGCGGCCAGCCTGCCCCCACCGCCCGTGGTGGTGGGCACACCTCAGAACGTGTTTGTTCAGGCCTCATCATCCATGTCGGAGACAAGTCAGGCCCTCAAACAGGCTAAGCAGTGGAAGACTTGCCCTGTCTGCAACGAGTTGTTTCCCTCCAACGTGTACCAGGTCCACATGGAAGTGGCACACAAGCACAGCGAGGCCAAACCCAGTGAGAGGCTTGAGCCTGAGAAGCTGGCAGCCTGTGCACCGTTCCTGAAGTGGGTGAAGGAGAAGACTGTCCGCTGTCTGTCCTGCAAATGTCCCATCCCGGAGGGCGAGCTCATCCGCCACTTGCTGACACATGGCCTGGGCTGCCTCTTCTGCCCCTGTACGTTCCACGACCTCAGGGCCCTCGCGGAGCACGGCCGCACCAAGCATCTGGGCAAGAGAAGGCTGCCTGTGGACTACAGCAGGGGCTTCCAGCTGGACGTGGACGCCGCTGGCAACTTGCTCTTTCCCCACATTGATTTCATCACCCTCTTGCCGAGGGACGAGCTTGGTGAGCGGGAGGTATACCTGGCGGTGCTTGCAGGCATCCACTCAAAGGCACTTGTGCCTGTGTACATTAAGGTGCGGCCCCAGCCCGAGGGTGCTGCTAGTAGCCCCAGCCAGCAGGCGATGACCTGCCCCTTCTGCTTTGGCACTTTTGTGACCACGGAGGTATATGAGGAGCACCTGAAGGAGAGGCACCACATCACTCCCACTGTGCACACAGTCCTGAAGTCGCCTGCATTCAAGTGCATCCACTGCTGTGGGGTCTACACGGGGAACATGACCCTGGCGGCTATCGCCATCCACCTGCTGCGGTGCCGGAGTGCCCCAAAGGACAGCAGCTCAGACCTGCAGCTGCAGCCCGGCTTCATCGACAACAGCGGGCTGCTCCTGCTCAACGGGGATGTGATCCACGAGTCCAGCTTCTCTGTGAAGAGGAAGCTGCCCGATGGCCACACTGGGGCGGACGACCCGAGGGCCGGGGAGGAGCGACCTGTTGTCATCAACGCCGACTCCACAGCCGCTCCTGAAATGGCGGCAGCAAGTGCCATGCCTTTCAAGAGACAGAAGAATGAGAGCAGGACAGATGGGCTGCTCGTTACTGATGACGCGCTTCAGATCCTCGCCCTGAACCCCCGGGAGTACGAGGATCGCTCCTACGAGGACAAGAAGCAGTTCCTGAGGGACTACTTCCACAGGAGACCGTACCCCAGCAAGAAGGAGCTAGAGCTGCTCTCCTCACTCCTGTGGGTGTGGAAGATCGACGTGGCCTCGTTCTTTGGGAAAAGAAGGTACATTTGCATGAAAGCCATAAAAACTCACAAGCCTTCTGTTCTTTTAGGGTTTGACATGTCTGAACTGAAAAATGTTAAACACAAATTGAACTTTGAGTATGAACCACAGAACTTGTAAAAAAAAAAAAAAAAACAAAACCCAAATCTAAACTGGGTAAGTAGCCAGTTTTTCCAGCTGGAATTTAAAATGTTCCTTCCCACTAGTATGTTGGATGAATGAATTCAGTGGTCTTTATGCTGCTCTTCACACATTTCAGGTGCTCAGAAAGACTACTGCGTAAGGAGCGAGTCGGGCGTTCACATTGATTGATTCCTGTGGCCTGATTTTGTAACTATTTTTGTTTGTTACTTCCTGTCAGGTAAATTAAATTTTTGATATTTCATGCACGCCTTGTTTTCCCAGGACCGTCAGTATCGTCTGATAAAAAGAGAAACCCAAAATGCCATTTGATTTCCCACTTAAGGAGGTGTACTTTAGCTGTTGCAGAATATTGGTTAATTGCACACGAAGGTATTGACCTGCCCGTGTGGCAGGTGGTGATGGGCACTCAGGTGGGTGCAGAACCCTTCAGGGCGTACCACACTCTGTGCTTGCTTCTCTGTAAACTATCTGCTTATTAGATTATTGCTCTGATTTGATCCTTTTCGGCTGCCTTTTAGTATAACTCATAGAAAACCAAGTGTTTTCATTTGTTTAATATCCTGAACCTGGAGTCTGGTATGTAGCGTATCCATCAAGAGTTATTTTACAAATAAAGTCATTTGGTGGGTGCAGACGCACTTCTCAGTGTAGACTGTTTGCCTCTTTTTGGTGATAAGTAATTTTTCCATTCAAAGGAATACAATAAATGTTTAGTGCCTTTAGAATAAACATTTTAAAAGCCGCCTAACTTAACTGCTCATAAACTAGTAAAAGGGAAGGACCATGTTTACTCAGGAATAAAATTTTTACCCGAGTGTGGTTACAGATTGAAATTTAAACAGGTTTTTCAGGGAAAACGTGAAGTGAGTTAGGCCAAGGGCTAACTCTGGTTGGTATATCGAATTCTTGACGTTTCTTAGAGGTAACCGTGGGAGTTCTGGGGCTTGTTCATGGGGTGGTGAACTGGTGGAGTCTCCATTGTGTAACTGTTCTTTGGATGGTGAAATCTAGTCTCCTTCGCAAAGTCTGAAGCTCCTCCAAGCATTGAGCTGGTGATGGGCAGCAGCCGGCTGAGCCTTGAGCATGGCGGTCCCCACGGAGGAGTCTCTGACGTGTCTACGGGCACAGGTTGCTGCCGGAGCGACTGAGCTGGTGGAGGGCGGTAACACTCTGTACGGGTTGTGACAAGACATTGCATGGATGGCTGTGCTGTGCACAAAGGCAACTGTGTAACCTGTCTGTGATGGTCAGCGCCCTCTGTTACCAGTTCATACCAAGAGCTTGTGACCTTTATTATTTTCTAACCTGTTGTTTTCAGAGGGTCTATTTTGAATTAAAACTTGTTACCCCACTGCAAATAGAGCCGTTTATATTCTTTTAATGGTGAGCACATTACTGTGACTGTTACAGGAATAACTGAAATGTGGAAATAGATACCACCTGTATCTTTTTGGAGTTCTGGTGGCACAGTGCCTAAGGCACCTGCCTGCTAACCAGAAGGTTGGCTGCTCAAATCCACCAGCCGCTCTGCAGAAGGCAGCTGGGGCAGTCTACTTCTGTAAAGATCCACTGCCTTGGAAACCCATTGGGGGTCACTATGAGTCGGTATCAACTTAATGGCAGTGAGGTTTTTTTTTTTTTTTTCCCTGAGAAACATTTCTGGCCATTGTGAAAATAAGCCTAACACAGAGGGGCCGGGGTGGAGGTCCCTGTTTCTGTCACGGTGCCCTTGATGCTGGAGGAGGGCGTCAGTACTGAAATTGCCTTCACCCCACTGTGGCAGGGCTGGGCTGGGCTGGGCGGGCCCACAAGAGCTGCTCACTGCCGCGGGAGCTGGCCTTCAACCCCGCGTTGCTGACGCTTCGGGCCAGGGGTGCTGAGCAGCGCCCCCAGTTCTGACAAACAGAACAGTCTCCAGACCCCGGGCCGTGACTCGGGGTCCCGTCCTGGTGCGTTGTAGCTGCAGCACGGCTCTGACGCCGAGGCTGGTCAGCCAGCAGGGTTCTGCTTACAGATCAAGATCTGACAGAAGCCGAATTTCAGAAACCACGTGGGAGCTCTTACACGTAAATAACTAATTTTTACTTGAAAATGAACAAACTGCAGATGGGTAGCTTTAGTGGTGAGGCTTTTTTTGACGTCATTTAAAAGGTGGTTAGAAATCCAGAAGGGAGGGAGATAGTTTATTTCTTATATGACTGTTACAAAAAAACTATACTTAAAATAATTCTTTAATCCACCTTTGCAGGAGCAACTTGAAAAATTGCATATCGAAGCGATATAGTTAAAAAATCAGATATAAATGTAACATGTTGTTCTGGCTTCTTGAACTCTTATCATTTCTCATGTCCCCATTAGTCTGAGGATTACAGGCAGTCCCTGGGTTATAAACATCTGACTACAACCCCTGTAACCCCAAAGACCATGCATAAGAAGGGGCTGGGTGGCATCTGCCTCACTGAATTGTCCCACAGCAGCCGGCAGGAGCTCCCTGCACCCACCTGGCTCTGGACCCTGTGGCACTCACCTCAGACTGAGGCCAGGAGGTGAGGGCGCGGCACTTCCGTTAATTGCCCCGTAGCCGGTGTGGGCTCCGTTTAGGTCTTGTTGGGCCCGGGCCCAGGCAGGAAGCTGCAGGGGTGGACCCAGCCTTGCTCTGTATTGCCTGACTAGGTGCCACTTCAACATTGTTTGCATTCGGGTGCAGTGCAGTGACCCCAGATCCCAGCTGGCCCCAGCCCTGGCCCAACCTTGGCTGCATCCCGGGCCCTGCAGCCTCAGCCAGGCCCCAAGCTCCTGGGGACGGCAGGGTGGGAATCTGGGCACAGGAGGTCAGATAATAATGTGTCTAAACATTATTACTATTTATTATGTTAAAGATGTTTCAGGGTATCTGGAAGTGTTCAGTGTTTCCTATGCATAGAAAGGTACACTATGTACAGGTATGAATTGCTTATTGTCTATGGTCTGTTCTGTGAAAATAGGATGTTATGTGATCTGGATGTTGTGCAAATTCCTTGGCCAGCTGCAGGGAAGGCCAGCTCACCTGTGAGAAGCTGACTGGGGAGGGACAGTTGGGTCAAGGGGGCCCATACTTTTCCATCAGCGCCCTAAGGGAGCACACCAGTCAAAACATGGGCACTAGACCTGCTGGGAGCTCTGGTAGCATAGTGGCTAAGACACTTGCCTGCTAACCAGACAGCTGGCGGTTCAAACCCACCAGCCACTCCTCGGAAGGAAGGTTGGGCAATCCTACTTCCGTAGTGATAACTGCCTCGGAAACCCAAGGAGGGGTCGCTATGAGTCGGGGCCGACTCGACGGCACATAACAACAACAACAAAGACCTGCTGGGTTGCAGGGGACCAGGCCTGGGAGTGAGGGTCTGGGCTTCCTTCCAGGCCACACACAACATCCAGGCAGAAGTGCAGCTCCTAACCTCAAGATGAAAGTCCGACGTCCTGGCACTTAAGACATCTGGGTGCCCTGGCCCCCGGCCGTGTATGTGGTTGGATGTTGTCTGGGTGGGTATCAAGTGATACACACAGCATTATATGTTAAGACAAACGTTTGATACAAACAATACCAACCTGTTTGACTTAAGTACACATCCAACTTAAAGACAGGAGTAACACTTGTCTGTAATCCAGGGACTGCCTGCATTTTTAGGGTTCACGAAGCAGAACAGCAGTTAGGAGCCTTCACCCTCAGCAATTAAGATGGGGGAGGGAAAGAGAAGCCTCAGTCCCAGATTCCAACCTAGTTTTTACTTGTTCTGTGCCGTCGAGTCGGACCCAACTCAGCGACCCCCTCCTTGGGTTTCCGAGGCAGGATCACTACAGAAATAGATTGCCCAACCTTCCTTCCAAGGAGTGGCTGGTGGGTTTGAACCGCCAGCCTTCTGGTTAGCAGTCAAGTACCTTAGGCACTATGCTACCAGAGCTCGTTTTAGTCATCAGTCATACTTAGTATTTAGTGTTGTGCTGTGCACTCTTTTAAGTACAGGATGCATATTAACATTTAACCCTCACTGTAATTCCGTACTGGTAGTGTCCCATTTTATACAGAGGGAAACTGAGGAATGGATGGTCAGTAACTTGCCCAAGGTAGAGGTAGAAGATGTAATAGCTGCAGGAAGGACGTGGACAACCTGGCCATATGCTCTTAGCTGACAGGAGAGACTAATTTCCGAACATCATCTAGTGTCAACCTCGTTGTAGGCATCGTTTTGTAGATGAAGAAACAGGCTCCAGTTGGGACCAGCATCCTGGTTTGCTCAGGACTTTTGAGTGCTAAAACTGGGAAAGTCCCGAGAGAAAAGGGACGAGTTGGTCACCCTGCTCACAGGTCAGTGAATTTACTTGCTCAAGGTAACGTGTCATTGCCACCTGTAGACTTGTACCTTGCTCTTTAGCTGTCGAGATGCATAGGACAACCCAACGAATGTCAGTAACAAGGTAACGTCGGCAAACACAGCACTTACTGTGCACCAATACCGTGCTAAGTGCTTGTAATAGTCACTCAGTCACATCCTGCTTCACTCATGAGGACTTCCTGTGGCGTTACTGAGACCACCACCACAAAAGACATATACAAGGTTTTGCTGTGTCGCACTTAACAATGTCTCCCGTGTTACTGAAAAGAGTCCTTGTCGAACTTCATCAATTGTGGATAAAAATTCCACCCATGAGGTACTGACAGATTTACTTGCTTTGCTTTAAAAATGGTTAAGCTTAATTTCATTCTTAGCAGTTAATTATACTTTCTCCAACCAGTTCCTTTTTTGTAAGTGATGAAAGTATCAGACATTCCTAATTAATTACAAAGCGCTTTCTGTAGCCCACCTCCCTGCTTATGCTTTCTGGAATTCACGTTTTCTGTTACACAAGTGAGGGGTGGTGCAAATGGTTAACTCATCAGCTATTAACTGGAAGGTTGGAGGTTGGACTCAGGTGCCTTGGAAGGAAGGTCTGGCAATCTACCTCCAGAACAGTCAGCCACTGAGAGCCCTTTGGCGCGCACAGCAGGAGGACGCTTGACAGCAGCCGGCTTGGCTTTGGTTATGTGAGTATTCTCTCAGCTTGAGGGTTATTCTCATTTTTGGTAATTTGCTCTAATTGCTACTTGGTCTTTAACCACAAGTTAAAAAACAAATCTAGCAATGAAGAATCTACATACATCATCAGCCTCTTAGACCTGACCCGTGCTTACGTGAGGTCCAGATGGGAGGACTACCATATAAAAAGAGGAGAAAATCGGATCAAACTCAGAGCCTGCTGTAGCTGAAAGACGTTTGCATCCACCATGTTGTCAAGTCAGAAAAAGAACAAATACTGGACACACTACCATCCGTTCTCACAGTGTACACAGTGCTGACAAGGAGAAGCAAAAGTAGGTTACCCACAGCCTCCTGAAAGAAGTGCTTCCCAAACCACCTGTCCTTAAGCAAAGTGACGATTTTCAAACTGAAAAGAAAACACATCAAGTCATTTTCAGAAGGGAAGATTTGCTAATAAAAATTTTTAATTTTACTAATATTTAAATTAGTAAAATGTCGGCAGCCATGTAGATATGTTTGCTGCGTACAAACTTAAGGTTGTGAGGTCATACCTTCAAACACAGTTTTAAGACTATTTGCAATAAATCATGTATCTCAGTTCATTAATTTGCTGTAGTGTACAGTCCCTGATTAATGCTCAGTTACCTACCATTTACCAAAATGTGCTATTCCACATCTATCTCCTACCAGTTTTTCACCTGTGAAACGGGGACAGTAGCACTTGCCCCCCAGCAACTGTAAGGATGAAGTGGAAAATAGACTACAAAGGTCAGGTGATGAGTTCCTCTCTGTTCATTAGCACCAAAATTCTATCATTTATTTAAAACACAACTGGAATATACTGTTAACTCAGAAGCAAGAAGTTTTTATTCTTTGATATATAAAACCAGGAAAACTTTAATACATAATAGAGCACAGTGTGTTTTGTCTTTGAGAAGAAAATGACACAGTACAGATCGGGGTAGACAGACCCACGTAAACTGCACACGACCCCCAGAATTACGAACAGGGATGCACGGTATCAGGCAAGCCTCTCCTTTAAGACGACACATTTGCTCAACAACTTCAGGCAAGAAGAAAGTACTTTGCATGTTGGTAGCAGACCTAGTTCTTCAACAAGATGTTTGGAAACCAGTAACAGTAAAAGGGCGTTTCATCTGTGGCTGTAACTAAGCATTGGTTTGGTGACAATGCTTGTCTTAGAACATGTGGTGTCAGATGATGCCATTGTTACGTCTTGTTAGCAGCGCCCCGAAGTTTAAGGAGGCTGGGTCCTCCCGCTCTGAGGGTTGGAGGCCTGTGAGTGTAGCATCGTAGGCCCCTGCCCAGTGGTGGAGCAGTCAACCAACCCAATCAATCAAAGGCACGGAAATCACAGCTGCCCGATCAAAGCTGTTTCCACCCAGAAGGAGGATTTGCTTCTCACGTCCTGAGCTCAGGAAAAGTAAAAACTTTTGAGACTCCGTTTTCTGTTAGGAGAGCTCGCGACAACTTGGCCATGAGGCAGTGAGGCTACTGGATAGTGTCTTCACTGCCTACGAAAGCTTTCTTTGGTCATAGTTCAGTTCTCAAAAGATAAAGTGACAGTTCCTCTCCCTGACGTTGTGTTCGGACACAGAGTTCCTGTCAAATTTTGTTGCAGCAGACCTGCCTAAGCCTTTAAAGTTACTCAGTATGTAAGTGCTAGAGGATCAAACTGAAGTGACAATAATGCATTTAATGTGTTAAAAATCACTAAACTCCACGTGATTGTTGTTAAAAAGGGAACCCTGCCCTGACCCTCCACTCTGAGGGAGGCTGAGAGGCGTGGCTGCCTTTGGAGCAGAGGACAGCCCACACCCGGACTGCAGCCACACTGCCATCGTGTGGGCATGCCGAATTGCAGCCGCCCCACTGGGGGAGTGTCGCTCGCCAACCCTGCAAACTGGCCGCTCCCCACATTCCTCCCGGGAAGGCTGAAGGCAGCCCCTCTGCGGAGCCAGCCCCCCACGCCCAGCACCAGTTGGGCGTTTGAAACAGGACCAAGTGGCTTTAGGGCCACACCTTTGCCAGGTGTGCTGTGTTTGCTGTACTGTCAGTGTCCTGCCTGGCACAGACACCTCTGGAGCTCAGATGCAAATCTGCTGGCACCCCAGATCCTGCCACAGGAGCCAGTCAACAGATTGACCGTTTGCAGGAAGTAATTTTAAAGCTTGAGTTTTAAAGGTCTAAATGAAGTGTTTTCTGAACGTGGTCAGATCCTTTCCATCACTTGACAAAGGAGCCAGGAACTGCACGTGGCCCTCTATATAACCTCTCTAAGTTCTGTGGAGAAATCGTATAAAAATAGAGTATTTTTATTTTCTAGCCAGTAAGCTGAAATAGAGGATCAAGTTGCCGGAGAAGGGGGTTACACAAACTCAGAAACAAAAAAGGAGCAAGTACAAGTGCACAATTTTTCTGAACTTTACAATCGGACTAGAAGTTTAACCAGTGTTTCCCTGCGGAAACGCCCATCACCGCGCGTCACTTCCCCCGCCTCCTGCTCCAGCACTTGCCCCGCGCGCATCTGTGCGCGTCTCCGCACCGCCGGCCGCAGGGCACACGGGGCACCGGCAGGGCGGCGCCCAAGCCGCTAGAGCGTGACCGCTGGGCCGTGCTCCTCCACGCCTCCCGGGGGAAGCGCCAGGCTGTGGCGGGGGTCCTTGAGCGAGCTGAGCAGTCTGTGGATGCTGCCATTGCCCTCGCGCCCCGAGCCGCTGAGCGTCAGGTCCCTGTGCAGCCGGTGCGCCAGGCC